TTCTTGACTGCTGATGTCACACATCCAGCTGCCTCCAGCGCCTGCCACCACAACTTCCCTGCCATGACTGATTGTCCCCTCACACTATGCTTCAGAGTAAACCCTCTCCTTCTCTAGGGGCTATTGTTGGGTGTTCTGTCATAGTTCTAGAGATGACAGGTCACTGCTGCCACATAGCAAGCCACTCCCAAAGCTTGCCGTCTTTCCAACAATAAGATGCTTTCCCTGCTGGCCTCACCTAGCTGGTTCATAAAAAACTACTTCCAGCCAGAGGGTCAGTGAAGCTGGAAGGCCTGCCTAACCTTGGGAACAGTCACCAAGGACTGTTTTTGATGGTTCTTGGGCTCTGTTCAGCTGGGCCAGCAGCCTTAACTGGTATCCTCAGGGCAGTGTCCCAGGAGCATGACTGTGAGACTGCAGGACCCTGGAGCCTGAACTCACATAACAGGAAGGCTAACCAGAGTTCAAGAGGAAGGGAAACGGATTGTCCCTGATGCTGGAGGCTGCTGTACTGTCTCACTTCGTGAGGTGTTGGCATTAAAGATTGCATAGAGTGTTGCAATCTGACATTTGAGATTAGAGAGGGAAGGTGTTCCTGGTGACAGCAATACCCAAAACTCAGCCAGAGGGGTGAGGGGTTTAAGTATGATAAGTGCCCATAGATACCAGAGAGGAAGCTACAAGGCTGGGGCATAGAATGCCTAGCCCTGTGGCTACAGAGCAGAGATGGTGGCAAATGTAGAGCAATGGCCTGTGGGGCAGATCCTAACAGTAACGGCAGAGAAGCCTGGGATGACCACACCAAGGACATGGTTCTGGAGACCATGAGGACCATGGTAGGTCCATCTCATGAGCAACGGACACTCAGCGCCCAGAGGCACTTCCTCTAGTTCTTCATCCCCCAGCTGCCAAAGCTGCCTGCTTACATGCCAGTTGTAAAACCCTGAAGTCACCACTTCTGACATCCAGACAGGGTGAGTAGATGCTTCAAGGTCTATTTTAACCCTTAGCTTCCGAGTCCCCCAAGTCTGTTCAAGTAGGAAATGCAGTGACAAGTTAGTTTACAGCTCCCACTTCTGACTTCCTTGCCTTCTAGGATATTTATCTAAAGGCAAAAGAGTGTTCCCACAGATGAGCAGGATTTATGACGGTGAAATGTACTAACCCTGTTCAACTGCTATAGCATTGGTCACCCCCGCTGTAAGTAAATAAAAATGAGAAAGCTGACGATGCTCAAGCCAGATGGTTCTAAGAACTCACTTAGCCATGGGCCTGTAGATGTGAATTAAAGTGAAGCCTGTTCCTTGTGGAGAGGGATGGAATTGCGTGTTCGTGCAACCGCTTCCAGGGCTGAGTGTTTGCTTGTTTGTGTGTGACGCCATGTGTGAGCACTGATTTGGCCTCTCTGGCTGTAGCTTTGGATTCTTGCAATACTTTTCGGGTTGCTGTATACACAGGAAAAGAGATGTTTATGCTGGATGAAATATTGAGGGGGTGAGGGAGTACTCCACCTCCACAGTCGGGTTCCCTGTGAGCCATGATTCCCACGCAGCCAATTACTGTCCCTCATCTACGATCTTCTGTTCGCGTTAGTCAGTATGCTCTGATCCTAAGTAGATTGCTGGGATTAGAACCCCCGTGGGTGTTATTTTCCCCTTTCACACCCAGTTGTTGTTTTTCTTTAGAATCTGTCATAAATATGTCCTAAAAAATGAGGACAATTTTTGCAGTTAGAGCCTATCTTAGTTAGGGTTTCTATTGCTGTGAAGAGACACCATGACCACAGCAACTCTCACAAAAGAAAGCATTTTATTGGGTCTTGGCTTACAGTTTCAGAGGTTTAGTCTATTCTCATCATGGCAGGAACCATGGTGGCATGCAGGCAGACATGGTGCTGGAGAGGTGGCTGAGAGTTCTACATCTTGATCCACAGGCAGTAGAAGGTGTCTGTCACACTAGGCCTAGCTTATATGAGACCTCAAAGCCCATATCTCAGTGTCACACTTCCTTCAACAAGGCCACAGCTACTCTAATGCGGCCACACCTCCCAACAGTGCTACTCTCCGAGGGCCAAGCATTTACATACAAGTGTCTATAGGAGCCATTTCTATCCAAACCACTGCAGAGCCTACGTATGAAACATGAAGGGTTTCTGACCACCTCAAAGGTGTATATCAAAGCAACATGGTTATTTATTTCACCAGGGTATTAATGATACACATGACTTGGGAGCTCCTCTTCAGAATCTGCTGTCAGAGCTAGTTCGCTGATGGACAAAAAAAAAAAAAAAAAAAAAAAATTCTGTATTTTTAATTTCTTATCTTCCTTGTCCCTAAAATTCAAGCATTCTTCCAAACTGTCTGTCCTTCAAAAACAATCACATCCCCCAGCAAACACTGAGATTGTCCTACTGCTTGGAATATTCAAGGCAATGTACCTCAGTCTCAAAGTCGTGGGGCCCCAAATGAAGCCAGTTCAGTGGCTCGCTCCCACCCTCTTGGCAACATCACCAGGATGTTGTCAAGTATGAGCTATGCTTTCGGTTCCTTTTGGATTCATTGGGTCAGGTCAGCGATTCCTCGGGTTGTGCTGATTTTCTTCAGTCTCGGGTGAGTTCTCCTTGAGTTAGACTTTATAAAATCTGTCCTTTGGGGAGATCTCTGTCTGTGTTAACTTTGTGAATTTACCTGATACTGGCTTCCTGCCTCACTCTGTTGTGATGTCCTCTGACTACATCCAGAACTTCAACATCAGTCTGCTCAACTCTCTCGCTGACTGTAGGAGGTGGATTTTGCAGTGATTCCCTCTAAGCAGATGAAAATAATAAGGCCCAGGAAGTAAACCCCACCCGGTGTCAGGGGACAGAAAAGAGCTACTTGGATTCAAACTCACTCCATCTGAGGCCCCTAGGTTGACCCGCACCACTTTGAGAATTAGGTCATAAAATTCTCTTCAATTTATTCTTCTCTCATATATTATATCCTGACTGCAGTTTTCTCTCCCTTCTCTCCTCCTAGAACTCTGCAACACCCCCCCACCCTCCCCTCTCCTCCAGATCCACTCCTCCTTTGTTTCCCTTCAGAAAACAGCAGGCCTCCCAGGGATGTCAACCAAAGATTGCATAACAAGGCAAAAACCCTCCTATGAGGCAACCCACTAGGAAGAAAAGGTCCCTCAAGCAGGCAAAAGAATCAGAGACAACCCCTGCTCCCACTGTTAGGAGTCCCACAAGAAGACCAAGCTATACAACCATAACATGTATGTAGAGGACCTAAATTAGACCCATACAGGCTCATCAGTTCAGTCTCTGGGATCACACAATCCTTGATCATTTGTCTATCCTAGCCATTGGGTACATTTAGCAATGTTATCTCTAGACATAGGTGATATTCTCTAGGGGGAGTATTTAAAAAATCATCCATCCAATGCCAAATTCATGCTTCTAGTGCATTGTTGTCTGGTACTCAAGGAAATAAAAATACCATAGAATGATAAGACAGAATGCTAAAGAGATCAATTGAGGAGCCACCACATCTGGCTGATCACCAGGGTTAAATGTTTGTTTTCGTGCTCAAATGTTTTTTTCAAAAAAGAGGCTATTTTCAGCCTCTTCGTGCTATACAAACCACAGGTCAAATCCTAACCAAACCACACACCTGCCCCTCAAATCCTTCCTGCCCAGCCTCAGGTTTCACAACCGCCTGTGACAATGCCTTCCTCACTGGGGATGACAAACAGCGCTTCTGAACTACTTCACCTTCAGGCCAGGCCTGACTGTGAGAAGGCAGTCTCTAACTTGGACTAACTCTCCACCTCTGTCTTTATCATCCATAGGATGACTTTTCCTCAAGTCAGTTGAGTTCAGCTCTCCTGGGCACCAGTTAGATATAAGACTCTTTTCTCTGAACATTCATAAGATCACTGCCAACTCTCAAAATGACCATGCGACCAATTTGCTCAGGTTAGACCTTCTCAAGGGGCCGGTTATGACTCACCAACCACCTGACAGCGTCCTGCAGGCTGCCGGCAGTAAGGCAACTGCTTTCTGTTGTGTGGAGGCCCTCACTCCAAAAAGCATGGCTGTAACAGCAGATTCTCTTCCTCTTTCTCTTGAGGACCTGCTCTTTTGGTTTGTTCAAGTGTTTTGTTTCATTGAGACATGATATTGATACATAGCTCAGGCAAGCCTGGAGCTTACACTCCTCCTGCCTTAGCCTGACAAAAGCCAGTATTGGGAGTGTGAGCCACCACCATACTGGGTCTGTAATCATCTTTTAACCTCCCTGGTACTTAAGGGAGGTTTTTTGCATGCTTTGCCTTCCTGGTAGTGTCTGCTTCTACCCTATGTTCCAGATTCCATGATGAAAACACTGGTGGGCTCTCTTGAGAATGCTTTGTCATGTCAGTCCGGTCACTATAAATAATAAATAAATGGATATGAGTTAACTTCATTAGCATGTCATAATTCAACCCGGAGTTTCCTGTTCACTCATGTCAAGCAGTTTTTTCAGCCTATGCTTTGGCTCTCATCTAGGCCACCTTAGCCATTATGAACTTACATGTGACATCTCAATGCCAGATATGGCATAGTTTAAAGAATGTGTCGGGGTGAATGATAGTATTTCTTGGGCAGCCAAGGGCCAAGTGTCAAAACTCAACCCTATAGGTGACCAGGTTCACTAGCTGGTCAGCATGTGTGTCGGGGGAAGCTATGACTGTGTGCCAGCAGTGCCTGGATGGGTCTGCAGTAGGCAGGTTATGTTTAGAGAGAACCAAGGAGAAAATAACACGTTCACCGGAATAAACTGTTCAGGGTCAAAATAACAGTGTGGTGTTTTTGTTCTAGTGTGAGATATAAAAAGAAAGCTTGAGTTTCACTTCCAAACTCCTTGCCTGTGCTCAGGCACCTCCAAGGACATGGCCGAACAAAGGCAAACTGTTGTGAGTTGCTGTGGAAAAGCCCTGGCCTCTCTAATGTGGCATCCACCATCTTCTTACAGGGCTTCATAAATGGACACGGACATGGACTACGAAAGACCCAACGTTGAAACCATCAAGTGCGTGGTTGTGGGAGACAATGCCGTGGGGAAGACTCGCCTGATCTGTGCCCGGGCATGCAACACCACACTGACCCAGTACCAGCTGCTGGCCACCCACGTGCCCACTGTGTGGGCCATTGACCAGTACCGTGTCTGCCAGGAGGTAAGGCACATAGGTTTATCCTCAACTACACAGCCAGCTGCAGGCCAGCCTGAACTCCTTGAGTCCCTGCCTTAAGAAGAAACAGAAATCTAATAGTAATTTGCCTGGCACAGTGGTCCAGGCCTCTAATCCCACTGTTCAAGAAGCTAAGGCGGATAGATGGAGAAATTCAAGGCTACCTTGGGCTAGAGGAAGAAAAAGAAAAAAAAAGAAGGAAGGAAACTTTAATGCTTAGGCTACCACTTCTATTTGCTGTTTACTAGGCTGATTTGCACATGTAAAACAGAAGTGACCTGTTGGGTACCAGAAAACAAAAAACAAGCAAAGTACAAACTTGAGGGTGTGGCTATGGTACACCAAAGGAAGTCTGAGTCATGTGATGGAAAGCTGAATTAGGAGTTGTCTTGTGTCCCACTAGGTGGTGGAAGGGCCTGAGGAATGCCACCG